ATGAATATTTTTCTCATCAAGGAAAATCCACCTTCGCATAGGATTACTCTCTATATGTGTATTAATTTTAGTGAACAGTACATATTTTTCAAGCTAACAGAGAAACAAAGATTTTTTTTGATTGATTTAATTGTTTTATCTTCACCCACACCAAATACTGCCACTGGGATAGAGTGCCTCATATATTTCCTATTTGTCATACAAAAGATGCTAATTAAAAAGTTAAACTCTTCCTGTCGGGGCTAGAAAAGCGTCTAGTTTGTAGGATCTATAGCAGCCTTTCATGGGAGTTCCTTAGTGCTTCCTCTCTCCTCCATGGAAATTATTGATTACATTTTTACTAAAATGAATCACCCTTATTAAATAGCCTATAGGTGGAGATTCTTATTTATAAAGAAACCAAGCTCCAATCTAAACAACAGCTAGATGAGCTGCATTGCCTATCTTTTCTAAGTCTGTTTTAGAAAGTGCAATTCTTTGCTCATTTGCTGAACAAACTTATCCAGAAAGCTGGTCCAGTTCTGAGGATCCTCTACCAGAACCCTGAGCTGATTGTCCAGAAAAGCCCCTGCAGAATATCCTCAGTACAGAAACCTTTTTCTGGGTTGGTTTTTTAGCAGATGAGTCTGTACACGGCTGTTTAACATTTTTTTCATGAGGTTATTCTACTGATAGGGATTTTGCTGCTTCAAAAAAAGACAATTTTAATAATTCAGCTGATTAAAAAGAAGTTAATCTGTAAGTGGCATGTGTGTACCTTCACTATGGAGAAGATACAGGCTGGGATGAATGAGAAAAGACATTCTCTTAACAATCTTGATTTGATTTCCCCATAGTCAAGCTATTTTAAATATTTTAGACATAATCTTTGTAGTCACATGATTTAACAGCAACAGGTTTTCATCTCAACCTCCATCTTGCCCAGACATCACCCCCCCACAATAAAACACACAATAATGTAATAAAGCTCACGTCTCTACAATAAACTACATTGTTGTAACATAAAAAGTCCTCTTTTTCTTCTAATATATTCTCTAAGCTTCATTATTTTTTCAACAGGCTTGCATTATGTTCACGTTTATCTAGGCTTTTATTTTGAAATACTGTCCTGCATTTCCGGGCCAGCCGTCAAACCTTCTTCATCTTTCAACTCTGAAGAAGAAAATGCTAAATGGAATTTGCGAAATCCAAAAAACGGGCCGTTTTTTACATCAAGTTTTTCTGTTTTTTCTTTTCTAAATTCTGGTGACAGGAAAGGGAAAACAGCTTTGTTCTCCGTTTTTCCGTTATTGATTCGTAAATGGAAAAACAGAAATAGTATCCATTTTTGGTTTTGGTTTTCAAGAAAAAAAAAACGAATTGCCTGAAAGTACATAGACTATAGAAGCCCAGCATCAGTCCTTCACTGAGGAGTCCCAACTATTCAGCTTTATTAGAAATCCTGCTGTTTAAAAACACTTTGCTAGAAGTTAGAGGAGAAACCTTAGCTTTTTACTCAGTAAAACTACTTAAGTATTAAAGCAAAAGTAATGCATCAAACAATGTTAAAAAAACAAAGGATTTAAACCCGGTTACTGCTCTGCCCTACTAAAGGAGCATTTTTGGATGATAACTTCCTTAGATTTAATTTTTTTTTAGTTTTATAACTAATGGTGTCAGATTTAACTTTGCATCATCTTGAAAAACTATTTATTTTGTTTGTGGTGAAGTTTGGGTACCAAGTTCAACCACAGAAATTAATTGTCTGGATGAAAATTATTTTGATGGTTTTTATTTATTTTTTTAAAATATCAACAGGCCATAATTTTTAAATGAAACAAAACTATCAAATATATTTTAAAAATGTAAGGAGTAAAAGGAAAAAGTTGTTTAAAGAATAATTACTACAGAAAAGTATAGATAGCCAACATTTCTACTTCAGTAAGGAACCAAAGTATTTGTACTTTGTTTCCTGAACATCAGACCCATATGGTTCACAATATTATGATTATCATGGTTTATTATTATTATGGTAACTCTTAATTGTTTATCTGATGTTAATCATTTATTTATTTAATATTCTGTATATTAATCAATATATAAATATCCATTTAAAGATTAAATCAAGCTAAGAGAAAGAAAAAGCAAACAAATATAATTAAAATAAGGCTTTTTTGCACATTTCCATTTTTTAATACATAGTTTTGCATCTTCTGTGTATATTTTGATTCCTTAAGGACTCATTGTTCGGACATCAAAGAAAGTTATTAATGAAGCTTGAGGGACGATTGTGGTCAGAAAATTTAGATGTATCTTATTTCATATATTGAGTTGTGCTATTTAGCCAGTCTGTTTCACCTACAGTGTACAAGGCCACAAAATGCCTGAGTCAGTGTTAGAAATATTTATACCCATAACAAGCCAGATCCTTTCTCGAGGTTTATTCTTATCATTTTACTGTTTAACCAAAGTGTCTGTTATTTGTTTTGATTCTGCCCAGATAAGAACAGGACAGATTACCATGTAATAAGGAGGATATGATGAACTGTTCTCTCTTTGCAAAGATGAACTAAGATGCCTGATTGAGATCCATCGATCTCCGTTTATTTAATTAAAGTGAATATTTGAATACTTTTTTCCCCAGGAAAACGATGCGGATGAGTTGCTGCTTGTTTAGTTTCTCTCACAGATCATTTAGAGCAGAAAATAGTTAATATTTACTACATATTTATAGCATATAATAGTTCCTAATTACAAACCGACCAACTTTAGATGCAGTGTGGTAGATTATACAGTAGACTATCTACTATAAATTTATTACCTCTGCAATAACTACAGTAAAATGTGTTTATAGGATACTTTATCATTTGTTTTATTACTTTATATGCAGTAATGTTTTACAATAAGTTGTTTATTGATAATTAATTACTTTACTTTGGATTCTTAATGGCTGTGGGTTTTATTTAAACTTACTTTCATCAAGGTTTCAGAATATTTATAACATTTTCATTAACTGCTTGTAATGGTTACACTAAATAAAGCAAAGTGACCATCGGAGCTCAGAAACATCACCTCAGATCAGTTCAATTAACCAAATGCTTTCTGAACCTGCTGCCTTCTGCATCAGCCTAACCTAAACCAGCAGAGCTGGGTACTACTTCCATTTACTATAGTAACTTTATTTAAAAGATCATTTAATGTGTAGTTTGCTGTATTCTACTTTTACTGGAGTGAAACAATAATGAAGCATCGTTGCTCTTTAGTAAAGTTTCTGGTTCCTCTGCCCATCATTAGTCATTTCACTCAATGAAGAACAAGCTTGTCTTGAACTAAAATGCTGCAGAGAGACAAACACCTTCAGTTCATTTTTAGCTGAGACTCATTTTTAGGACCTGAGCTTCTTTGTTTTAATCTGATTTTATTTGCTGGTTCTGTTGGATCATTTGAAGCCAAGTGAACAGACAGTAAACAGAGTCTGGAAACTGGAAGAAACGAAACCTGTTCTGATCATTACATGCTAGAAGAATCCGTTTGAAAAGTTTTACAGTAGAAAAACTTTACATAAAATTAGGACTTAAATAATTAATTGATTATTGAAATAATCATCAACTAATTTAATAATCAATTAATCGTTAACTGGAGTTGAGACTCTAAAAAATGTCTTTAGCTGACAGAGCGACCCACTTAGAAACAGTCAGACTTTCTGTCAGATTTACTGAGAATAGAATCAGCTTCCTGCTCTACAGGACAGATCAGAGAGCAGCTAACTGGGAACACTGGGACTGAACCACATGTTAACTGAGAGTCTCTGTTTTCCTCTCAGATTGACTTCATGTCTGCAGAGAACATCAGTTATAGTTATGAACACAGAGGAGAACAGAGCAGAGTCTCCATCACCCAGCTGTGTTTCTATGAAGAGTGACGAGTCCAAAGATCTTCCTGCAGGGTTCAGTAATTATCCTGGAGCAGCAGATCTAGGGTGAGTCATCTGTTACTAGCTGCTATAATCATGTTTAAACATCATCAACCTCTGATAGATGGAAACTAAGTCAGACTGAACTTTAAGCTGAGAAGTTCAGCTGCAGAAAAGAAGCTTCAGGACGTCCAACCAGCTCCAGGAACGTTCTCTGATGAGAGGGAAGCTGCAGCATCATGCTGCCACCAGTGCAGAGCTTGATCAGCAATCAGAGCTGCTAAAACTACTGTGCTTAAATACTAGAGGGAAAATATATTTTTCCTCCTTAAATATATAACTTTTAAAACTCTTATTTTTTTCATTATTAGGATCAGATAATGAGTTAATTTTCCTCCATCTCTAACTGTGTTGGTAGAGAAGCAATGAAATAAACTGACTCAGTCTAGTTTTGTTCTAAATTCTAATTTCAGACAGGATGATATAAACTGAACTGAACCTCAGTCCTTGATGAGCAGCTGAATATTTTTAGAGCTCTGATATTTACAGCATTAAAGCTGCAAACAGCATTAAAATGAAAATAGAACTAGAAACATGATCAACATGTAAATGAAAAACCTCCTAAAGGGGAAATAGATGGAGAATGTCCTGCTTCCCAGAATTTGATCCATCATCTGCAGTGTTTTCCAGCCTCCTGTCTTCATCCATGTCTCTATCAGGGTTTTTCTATAACCTAACTGGGCTCCAGATGGACACATTCTATTCTCTGTTTTCCTGCTTTGTTGCAGCTGTTACATCATGTCTTTATCAATATAGTTTCATATCAATATAGATCATATTCTATGATTCAGTTTCGTAGAAGTAATCATTAAATTCAGCAAAAGACTAGAAAAAAATTACTCCTTAACTTTAAGATTTTAGGGGATCTAATAATAAAAAAAATAGAATAGAATTATATAAGTAAAAATAACAACTAATGGAAATTACTGAACAACAACTAAGAGAGATAAATACAGAAGGAAATCTAAAATGTAACTACAAATGTTATCAATAAAAATCAGAACTCAAAGTGAAAGCTCTTGTTCTGTTGTCATGGTTACCGTCCCTCACCTTAACTCCTCCTACCTGCCCAGCCTCCATCTCAGGTGAAGCTCTGACTGCAGGTAAACTGGTTCTACTGGTTCTCCTTTTCTGCCTCCATCTCAGAGTCTGTTTTCTTCAGACCGTCGTCTGTTCTCTGCTTCGCCTAAAGACGCCGTAAGTTTAACTTTCTATTTAATAATGATTAATAGTAAAAGTTGAGGTTAAATCGTTTAACAGTCTGTTTCTGCTTTCTGGGGTTTTTAGAAAACATTCTGTTTTTATTCCAGACCAGTTTAAGTCCAAAAGAAGTTTACATTTTACTCTAAATGAAGGAAAATCTCCAGGATTACTAGATTATTTTCTGAAACAGTCAACATGAAGAGCAGATGATGTTTGTTCTTCCCTTAAAAAATACTTCTTTTTCAGGTCTTTAGATCAAACTTTCATTTTCTCCTTTAATGTCAATCGACAAGCAGAGCAGCTGCTTCCTGTGGAGCCTTTCATAATAAGATCATCAATGTTATTAAATATCATTTTTATTAAAAATATATATTTCCTTGTATTAAACTGTCTGAAGCTTTAATGGAGCATAAAATCCATCTGTTTAGTTTGATGGTTTAGAAACACATAGGGTCCAGATGTTCTGAGTTTCTGATGCACCAAGTAGTATCTTTTGCGGCGCTAGTAGCTCGTTTTTTGCACAGTGGGCTGAAAGGAAAGATGTTAGGAGAGACGGGGAGAGGAATGCGGCAAAGGACCACAGGCTGGATTCAAGGCCCCATGGAGGACTAAGGCCTCCATACATGGGTCGTGCGCGCTAACACTGCACCCCCGTAGCACCATAATGCGGGAAGAAGTTTGACTGAATAATATTTTAACATCATAGAGTTGGAGTCTGAAATTCATTCACTTTAATTCCAAACTATAATTATTTAATTAATTTAAAAATGGTTTAATTTCTGACCAATTTCATCAGTCATTTGCTTTAGTTTTTAATGTTAGATATAGTTTAGCATCACATCTTTATTTCTGTAATAGATGGTAAACAGCTACTGCATCCTACAGGTGGGAATCAGTGAATGTTAATGTAGCTTCATCCTGTGTTCTTGGCTGCAGCTGCAGGTGTGTGAGCTGATGTGAAGTGAGCAGCATGGATCAGTGTGAGGACAGAGAGGACAGAGTCCCTCCCTCTAAAACCACTCTGTGTGGAGAACATGAGGACCAGAGCAAAGTTCAGAGGTCAGATCACCATCTCTAACTGTCCAGGACTCTTCTCCATGTCAGAGCTCAGCATGAACATCACCAAACCATCTTTATTCACAGGAAACAACCAGAACCAGAACCTGGACCAGAACCCAGCTGTGTGTCTTTAAAGAGCAACTGGTCAAAGGATGAAGTCCTTGATTTTAAATCAGACCAACTTCCATCAGGAAACAGGTGAGCTGTTTCTAAATGTTCCACTAATCAGTTTAAACTAACTTCATTCCAACATATTAATGTGAACTCAACTCTTTCTCTCACATGTCTGTGTTCACATGTGAAGCAGTGAGAGATGGAGGCTAAATAATGGAAATAATCAAAGGATTGTTTTATTGTGATGATATGAAATGATCTTGTTAGATGATATTGGAGCTAAAATCAGTTGTTCTTCCATCCAGTTGAATCTTTCTGGATCACCTTGTGTCACATTAGTGAACCAGAGTTGGTGCTTCTGCAGAGCTTAAGGTGATGCACATGTAGGCAAGTCATGATGCTGATTCAACTATTAGATGGAAACTAAACCATCAAACTAAATCTGATGGAAAACATGATCTCTCACTGTTATCTGCAAACATCGGTGAAATCAGCAGCTTCTAAAGTTCATCTGTGTTCATTCAAAATGATCATCAGTCTGATTATTAGCAAACTGCTCCACAGTCTCCTTCAGCAGCCGCTACATGTCATCAGAAATACAAGATCATTGACCTGCTGCTGGGAGGAAGATTGATGATAAGAACAAGATGAATCTTTGATAGGAAACTTAGTGTGGATTACTACATTAATGAAAGGTCTTTGAATGCACCACCATGGCCTGTATTACCATAAAAAGCTGAACAGAAGCTCAGAAATGATCAGCTGAGAATAAAGCAGCTGCTCTAAAGGGGTTTGATCATCAGTTTTAGACTAGAACAAGTAAAACAATCAACTAGAAGATAAATGAACTTGTTTCTCCATCAGCAGTTCTGACTCTGATCCAAAGGAAGAAAGTTTATCAGGATAGAAGATCAGAACACATCAAACACTGTTCTACATCCAGACTTTCTGATTATTGCTCAGTTCCTGCTAACAAACCCAAACATCATCCCTTATTAATTATCATCAGAGCTAATTATTAATCCATCATTAATATACAATTTACAGTGAAACCAGGAATATTTGGATCCACTTCAAACTAGAGCCACTGTGGGACACTTTAGAGTTCTGGGCTTCACTGTTTAACTTTAATGACATTATTAGACTGAGACTGAATTCAGGGTTTTTCCTTCAGGATCCAACAGAACCTCCAACCAGAACCAGAACCCAGCTGTGTTTCCTTAAAGAGCGACTGGTCAACGGATCATTATATTGATTTTAAATCAGACCAACCTTCAGCTGCAAAGAGGTGAGCTCTGTCTAAATGTTTTAACTGTTTGAAACTGAATCGACTCATTTTTCCACTAATTCAGTCTCCAGTGAGTTCAGGGGAAACATTGTTGGAGGTGTTTCTAAGTGTCTGTAGTTCACCTGTTGGTCCAGCAGGGGTCAGGCTGATTTCTGCTGAAGCCAGAATTCAGATGAATCATTTTATAGAAAAAAATCAATGACAGAATAATTTGTTCCCAGTTCAGACTCTAGTCGATTGCTTTATTCCTGACTTTGTGTTTCTGACACGTTTCTCACACAGTTTTAGTTCATTTGTTGAATAAGATGATTTTCAAACAGAATTACTTTAAGGAAACACATAATTGAAGATAAATGACCAAATTAAAGACCAATCCATAAATAATTTACCTCTAGAAATGCCTAAACTTCCCTTTCAAAAGCCTGTTTTCATCTGATTTATTTTTGCTTTAATCTCAAACTAGAATATAAAAGAAATGTTATTTTTAATTTTTTTAAAAAAGTTCTTGATTTCAAGTAAAGAAATGCCTTGTTGCAGCCTTACTGAGGACCAACATTATTTCTGTACATGAATCCTGTTAGCTTTCTGCAGATGTTGGACCATGTCTATCATGGAGAAAACAGATTAAACTCAGGATGTAAATTTCTTAACCTTTCTTTGGACGTTGTTCTGTCTGATTAACTTGCCTTCATTGTTCTCACACAGGCTGCTGCTCTGGAATATGTTCATGAACTAATCAGTTAAGATTTAATAACTGTGTCTCCAGCTTCCTGTCAGTCATTGAAACAGCAGCTAAAGCCTCTGATCACAGACTAGGATTAGATTTACTGATCCTTCAGTAGAGTTAGATTTAGGGATGGGAAACGTTGGTAAGAAGACATTTCTCTAAGAAACTACAACAGCAGCTGCAGCTTAATGAAACTGAAATATTTCAGAGACATTTAAAAAAAAAAGACTGAATGGTTGTTATTGATTTAACAGTTTTTAAATGATATTTGGTCAATTATTAATTCAATTATTTTATGAAATATTAAACCTATGATATTTAATGGATTTAGAATATTTTCACTTCTGTATAATGCTGAGCATCAGAAACTCAAACTCTAATCAGGTAGGAGCTTCTTTGCTACAGAAAGTCGTCCCTGAGAGAAGTGAAAAGACATAAAGCTTTAGGATCAGGACACCAGAAGGACCTTGGTCTTTGTCTGTTTGTTGTTCTACAGAATGTGAGTTAATGCTTCCTGGTTCCTCCACAGAGTGAACCAGCAGAACTCAGAGGTTCCCAGTGCTCCATCTGCCCAGCAGCATCAAACCCAGCTGGACTCCATATTTATGGTCTGTACATGAACTACAACTACTTCTCCATGGGTTCTGTTCAGTCATCTCCATGCTGCACTTTGTGGACCAGAGGACTGTCAGTCTGTCCAACATGGATCTGATGTTTGGCTCCATGATCTCAGTCTGATGTGTCCTTCATTTATTGTTCTGTTCAGCTGCTGGAGGAAAACATTGTTAGTTTTGTGAAGAAGGAGCTGAAGAAGATCCAGAAGCTTCTGAGTCCAGATGATCCAGAAGCTCAAAGGGAGGATGAGGAGGTGTTGGAAGGAGAGGATGAAGAGCAGAGGAGGAGCAGAGAGGCTTTGGTGAAGATCACCCTGACCTTCCTGAGGAGGATGAAGCAGGAGGAGCTGGCTGATCGTCTGCAGAGCAGTAAGAGGATTTCTATAAAGATTTAACATGATGGATAAATTATTAATTTATTCCATAAGAACAGAAAATGAGTTGAAAGGAATTATTTCAATGCTAACAATAAACCTTCATCTTTCAGAGCTTTTTGCTTCAGTTTGTCAACATAACCTTAAATCCAGTCTGAAGCAGAGGTTCCAGTCTGTGTTTGAGGGGATCGCTAAAGCAGGAAGTCCAACCCTTCTGAACCAGATCTACACAGAGCTCTACATCACAGAGGGGGGGACTGGGGGGGTCAATGATGAACATGAGGTCAGACAGATTGAAACAGCATCCAGGAAACCAACCAGACCAGAAACAACAATCAGACAAGAAGACATCTTTGAAGTCCCACCTGGAAGAGATCAGCCAATCAGAACAGTGATGACAAAGGGAGTGGCTGGCATTGGGAAAACAGTCTTAACACAGAAGTTCACTCTGGACTGGGCTGAAGGCAAAGCCCACCAGAACATCCAGTTCATATTTCCATTCACCTTCAGAGAGCTGAATGTGCTGAAAGAGAAAAAGTTCAGCTTGGTGGAACTTGTTCATCACTTCTTCACTGAAACCAAAGGAATCTGCAGCTTTGATCACTTCCAGGTTCTGTTCATCTTTGATGGTCTGGATGAGAGTCGACTTCCTCTGGACTTCCACAACAAGGAGATCCTGACTGATGTTACAGAGTCCACCTCAGTGGATGCTCTGCTGACAAACCTCATCAGGGGGAAACTGCTTCCCTCTGCTCTCCTCTGGATAACCACACGACCTGCAGCAGCCAATCAGATCCCTCCTCAGTGTGTTGGCATGGTGACAGAGGTCAGAGGGTTCAATGACCCACAGAAGGAGGAGTACTTCAGGAAGAGATTCAGAGATAAGAAGCAGGCCAGCAGGATCATCTCCCACATCAATAGATCTAGAAGCATCCAGATAATGTGCCACGTTCCAGTCTTCTGCTGGATCACTGCTACGGTTCTGGAGGATGTGTTGGAGACCAGAGAGGGAGGAGAGATGCCCAACACCCTGACTGAGATGTACATCCACTTCCTGGTGGTTCAGACCAAAGTGAAGAAGGTCAAGTATGATGGAGGAGCTGAGACAGATCCTCACTGGAGTCCAGAGAGCAGGAAGATGATTGAGTCTCTGGGAAAACTGGCTTTCAATCAGCTGCAGAAAGGAAACCTGATCTTCTATGAATCAGACCTGACAGAGTGTGGCATCGATATCAGAGTAGCCTCAGTTTACTCTGGAGTGTTCACACAGATCTTTAAAGAGGAGAGAGGGCTGTACCAGAACCAGGACAAGGTGTTCTGCTTCGTCCATCTGAGTGTTCAGGAGTTTCTGGCTGCTCTTCATGTCCATCAGACCTTCATCACCTATAAAATCAACCTTATGGAAGAAGAACAAAAAAAGACTTCCTTTTTACCTAAATTATCTAAGAAAGTGAAACTAAGAAGTCTCCATCAGAGTGCTGTGGACAAGGCCTTACAGAGTCCAAATGGACACCTGGACTTGTTCCTCCGCTTCCTCCTGGGTCTTTCACTGCAGACCAATCAGACTCTCCTACAAGGTCTGATGACAAAGACAGGAAGTAGCTCACTGACCAATCAGGAAACAGTTCAGTACATCAAGAAGAAGATCATTGAGAATCTGTCTGCAGAGAAAAGCATCAACCTGTTCCACTGTCTGAATGAACTGAATGATCGTTCTCTGGTCCAGGAGATCCAACAGGCTCTGAGATCAGGAAGTCTCTCCACAGATAAACTGTCTCCTGCTCAGTGGTCAGCTCTGGCCTTCATCTTAGTGACGTCAGGAGAAGATCTGGATGAGTTTGACCTGAAGAAATACTCTGCTTCAGAGGAGGTTCTTCTCAGGTTGCTGCCAGTGGTCAAAGCTTCAAACAAAGCTCTGTGAGTACCGACAGAATTTGGGTTTTCCTGATAAAACCAGGAAAGAGTGACTATTATCCTGGTAAAACTAATGTTATCAGTTTTATAAATATACCTTTGATTTAAATAAACACTAGTCAGGTTGCTTTACAGAATATGATTTAGCTAAGAGGCCTGACAAATAGTTTTTTAATCACGGTACAAAATGATTTCTTTTATCAAAGTAGAAAATAAATATTAAATTTTTTGTTTTTTTTAGTTTTGTTAATCATGAATTATGTTCATCCTCGCTAGACCTAGAAACAGATGAAGTCACACATATACACTCACCGGCCACTTTATTAGGTACCCCATGCTAGTAACGGGTTGGACCCCCTTTTGTCTTCAGAACTGCCTCAATTCTTGGTGGCATAGATTCAACAAGGTGCTGGAAGCATTCCTCGGGGAGTTTGGTCCATATTGACATGATGGCATCACACAGTTGCCGCAGGTTTGTCGGCTGCACATCCATGATGCAAATCTCCCGTTCCACTACATCCCAAAGATGCTCTATTGGATTGAGATCTGGTGACTGTGGAGGCCATTTGAGTACAGTGAACTCATTGTCATGTTCAAGAAACCAGTCTGAGATTATTCCAGCTTTATGACATGGCGCATTATCCTGCTGAAAGTAGCCATCAGAAGTTGGGTACATTGTGGTCATAAAGGGATGGACATGGTCAGCAACAATACTCATGTCTGGCCATTCTCCTCTGACCTCTCACTGGATGTTTTTTCTTTTTCGGACCATTCTCTGTAAACCCTAGAGATGGTTGTGCGTGAAAATCTGGCACCAACAATCATGTCACGTTCAAAGTCACTCAAATCACCTTTCTTCCCCATACTGATGCTTGGTTTGAACTGCAGGAGATTGTCTTGACCATGTCTACATGGCTAAATGCACTGAGTTGCCGCCATGTGATTGGCTGCTTAGAAATTAAGTGTACCTAATAAAGTGGCTGGTGAGTGTTAGCTTTTAAGCAAGAAATGTCATGTCATCTTAATACTATATCATTGCTTATTTTTATAATGTGCCTTCTTTTTGTCCTTTATAATCTTCAACTTTATTTTTTAATTACTTATATTTTTAAAAAGTTATTTTTATGCAGGTTATAATATTTTTGTCTGTTTTATTCTTCCTTTGTATTTTTTTACCCTAGTTATTTCTTCGCCGCTATTTATTTCTACCTGCCCTTTTTTACATTTCTGTCTGCATTTCTGCCTCATTCTGCGAATGAGGAGGGGGTGTGTCCTAGAGAGTCAACTTCTGCTCATTGGTTGGTTAGCATTTTACTACATTGGTAAAATCTACAGGAGGAGAGTCTGAAGTCAAGTCTGAAGTCATTAGAACGCGAGTAGGGACTCGTATCCTTGACAAGAACATACTTGGTGGGGACAAACTTTGCCAAATACAACAAAAAATCGGCATCATAGCCAGCGGTCCTTTACACACGGCTATGCCGAGAGAGGGCCGCTGCAGACGGGCTGCCGTTAGATCTGGCTGTCGTTAGCTTCGGAGCTCCGCTGCTTGCCACGGTCCTCTCAAGTTCAGAACATTTTCTTTTAAATTACGCATTAAATCTGTGAATGGGCCATATGGTGATGCTTAATATAATGTTCTCACCTCAAATCATCTTAAAACGTACTTTTATTGAACAACAGCAACAGAAAAGAGAAGATGTAACTTAGTACTCTGAGCTCTGTGAGTTAAGAAGATGGCCGCCAACCAATGAGCAGAAGGTGACTCTCTAGGTCACCCCCCCTCTTCATTTGCATAATGAGGCAGAAATGCATAAAGAAATGTAAAAAGGGTGGGTAGAAATAAATAGGGTTAAAAAATACAAAGGAAGAATAAAACAGACAAAAATATCATAACATGCTCATAAATAAATACTTAAAGGTATAAGTAATAAAAAAATAAAGTTGAAGATTATAAAGAACAAAACAATAAATAAGGTAAATATTACAAAGGCAAATAAATAAAGAAGCTAATTAAAAGAGTTATATACATTTATGTCTCACTGTATAATTTAATTTCTACTTAAATTTATTTGTTTATTGTATTTTTGGTGGCAATTAATTGTATGCTTATTTATTTATTGAGCATTTATTTACTTTTGTATTCATTTTTAAATATGGCAGAGTTGGTCCTCCATATAAAAGGACCAGCTAACATCGTATCAGTGATTGCTCCATTAACACAGGTGTGGGTGGTGATGAGGACAGGGCTGGAGATCAATCTGTCATGATTGAGTAAGAATGACGCCACTGGACACTTCAAAAAGAGGCTGGTGCTTGGCATCATTGTTTCTTCTTCTGTGAACCATGGTTATCTCTAAAGAAACACGTGCAGTCATCATTGCACTGCACAAAAATGGCCAAAACAGGAAAGAGAATCGCAGCTAGAGAGATTGCACCTCAGTCAACAATCTATGGCATCATCAAGAACTACAAGGAGAGAGGTTCCATTGTTCCCAAAAAGGCTAAAGGGCGCCCAAGAAAGACCAGCGAGCGCCAGGACCGTCTCTTAAAAGTGTTTCAGCTGCGGGATCGGGTTACCAGCAGTGCAGAGCTTGCTCAGGAATGGCAGCAGGCAGGTTAGAGTGCATCTGCATGCACTGTGAGGCGGAGACTCTTGGAGCAGGGCCTGGTCTCAAGGAGGGAAGCAAAGAAGCCACTTCTCTCCAAGAAAAACATCAGGGACAGACTGATATTCTTCAAAAGGTACAGGGAGTGGACTGCTGAGGACTGGGGGAAAGTCATTTTCTCTGATCAATCCCCTTTCCGATTGTTTGGGAGATCTGGAAAACAGCTTGTTGGGAGAAGACGAGGTGAGCGCTACCACCAGTCTGGTCTCATGCCAACTGTAAAGCATCCTGAAACCATTCATGTGTGGGGTTGCTTCTCAGCCAAGGGAGTCGGCTCTCTCACAGTCTGACCTAAAAACAGCCATGAATAAAGAACGGAACCAGAATGTCCTCCGAGAGCAACTTCTCCCAACCGTCCAAGAGCAGTTTGGTGATGAACAATGGCTTTTCCAGCATGATGGAGCACCTCGCCATAAAGCAAAGCTGATATCTAACTGGCTCAGGGAACAAAACATAGAGATTTTAGGTCCATGGCCTGGAAACTCCCCTGATCTTAATCCCATTGAAAACTTGTGGTCAATCATCAACAGATGCATGGACAAATGAAAACCTAGGAATTCTGACAAAATGCAAGCATTGATTGTGCAAGAATGCACTGCTATCAGTCAGGATTTGGTCCAGAAGTTGATTGAGAGCATTCTAGGGAGAATAGCTGAGGTCCTGAAGAAGAGGGGTCAACACTGCAAATATTGACTTGCTGCATTAACTCATTCTGTCATTAAAAGCTTTTGTTACTCATAATATGATTGCAATTGTATTTCTGTATGTGATGACAACATCTGACATACACACATGAAAACCTGAGGGCAGCAGATCATGTGAAAATATAATATTTGTGTCATTCTCAATAGCTTTGGCCATGACTGTATGTGGCTCTTAAGAAGTTCAAGTACAATTATTTAATTTTCTTTTTTTGCTGATTTAGAACCTGTTGAAATAACTGATGATTTATTTGTATTTTTTCTCCTTTAATGGATATTACTTTCAGTTTAATACCGTCTTAATGCTGGACTAAATATTCCCGATTTAGAATTCATTCCTTCTCAGACTAATATCTTTCCACTTAAACCCTGTTTGTAAAGATAAAATTTTTTGGTTTGCATTTCATCCTCCTCTACCTGCAAACCTGAACAGAGTCTTTAACAAACTATAAATGAAATCAAATTACTTGGCTCATTGTTTCAGCCGTTTCAAGCGTGGGGTGCAGTTACTGAAACGCTTCACAGTGTTTATTATTTTTCTATATCATTCGGTAACTGTGTATATATATATATATATATATATATAATGAAACCCTTTTCCACTATCAGGGAAAAAGCTGCAGTTTAATTTTCCAAAAGGAACATTAGGTCATGTTTGCAGCTCAGTCTGTCCAGATCAAACATTCATCCAGAGTTTAACCAGGTTACAGACATAGAAATGTTTTTAAGCTCAATGTTGTTTTGTGGGGTTTGGCATGCATGGCTCTGGTTTGAGCTTCAAGAGCCGCTGAAAAAGTTCATTTTGTCATCATTTTCATCTCTGCCTCTTCAGACTGAATGCCTGTAACCTCTCAGAGAGAAGCTGTGAAGGTCTGGCCTCAGTTCTCAGCTCCCAGTCCTCTAATCTGAGAGAGATGGATCTGAGTAACAACGACCTGAAGGATTCTGGAGTGGAGCTGCTGTCTTCTGGACTGAAGAGTCCAAACTGCAAACTGGAAATTCTCAGGTCTGAACATCAGTCCAGGACACACTTGAAGGCTTGTTTTATAACTAAATTTATGTAGAATGTTTATGTCATGAACTTTAACAAGTTACACTGAAAAATATTGAATTAGTTCACTAAACTCTGCTAGTGCTGTTTTATATGAAGGGAAAGGTGGACTGAACCAGAACTTGATATTAATACTTGGATCCTTTAATAGAAATTAGTTACATAGCTCTGCATTTAACTGAATTCCTCACCTAAAGCAATGTCAAGATGAATATAAACATTGTGGGTACTGGAAAAAAATCTGCTGGGATCCAATTAACTACCTATAAGATCCAATTAGTCTAAACACTATCCATCCTATTAACTTTGATGCCAAACAGTAAAACAATCTGTCTCTTGTGGTCAATCATCAAGAGATGGTGGACAAACGAAAACCTAGGAATTCTGACGAAATGCAAGCATTGATTGTGCAAGAATGGACTGCTATCAGTCAGGATTTGGTCCAGAAGTTGATTGAGAGCATTCTAGGGAGAATAGCTGAGGTCCTGAAGAAGAGGGGTCAACACTGCAAATATTGACTTGCTGCATTAACTCATTCTAACTGTCATTCAAAACTTTTGTTACTCATAATATGATTGCAATTGTATTTCTGTATGTGATGACAACATCTGAATCAGAATCAGAATCAAGTTTATTGCCAAGTAGGTTTGCACTTACAAGGAATTTGACTTGGTGTTGTTGGTGCAGAGAAAAAACAAAACAAAACAAAATAACAAAATAAGATAGAATATATATAAATATATATATATATATATATATATATATATATATATACACACAGAAGCTATATACAAACAGTAGACTGTGCGTTAATGTAACGCAGAAATCCTGAATGGGGGAGAGAAACATTGTCCAGTGTCACGGGCGGCTCTTGGCCTTGTTGATAAGGCCGATAGCAGATGGGAAAAACTGTTTTTGTGACGGGAGGTTCTGGTCCTGATGGACCGCAGCCTACTGCCAGAGGGAAGTGACTGAAATAGTTTGTGACTGGGGTGCGAGGGATCAGCCACAAACTTCCCTGCACGCCTCAGAGTCCTGGAGGCGTACAGCTCCTGGAGAGATGGGAGGTTGCAGCCAATCACCTTCTCTGCAGACCGGATGACACGCTGCAGTCTGCTCTTGTCCTTAACGGAGGCACCAGCGTACCAGATGGTGATGGAGGAAGTGAGGATGGACTCAATGATGGAGGAGTAGAACTGCACCATCATTGTCCTGGGCAGGTTGAATTTCTTCAGCTGCCGCAGGAAGTACATCCTCTGCTGGGCTTTCTTGGTGAGGGAGTCGATGTTCAGCTCCCACTTTAGGTCCTGGGAGATGATAGTTCCCAGGAAGCGGAAAGACTCCACAGTGTCAATGGTGGAGTCACAGAGGGTGATGGGGGGTAGCAGGGGCTGCGCTCTTTCTGAAGTCCACAACCAACTCCACTGTTTTTAGAGTGTTGAGCTCCAGGTTGTTCTCCCTGCACCAGGTCACCAGATGGTCAGCCTCCCACCTGTAGGCGAACTCGTCAGCATCGGAGATCAGTCCGATGAGAGTGGTGTCGTCTGCAAACTTCAGGAGCTTGACAGACTGATGACTGGAGGTGCAGCTGTTGGTGTACAGGGAGAAGAGCAGAGGAGAAAGAACACAGCCCTGGGGGGAACCAGTGCTGATGAGCTGTGAGTCAGAGAACTGTGCTCCCAGCTTTACGTGCTGCTTCCTGTCCGACAGGAAGTCTGTGATCCACCTGCAGGTGGAGTCAGGCACATTCAGCTGGGAGAGCTTCTCCTGGAGCAGAGATGGGATGATTGTGTTGAAGGCCGAGCTGAAGTCCACAAACAGGATCCTGGCGTAGGTTCCTGCGGAGTCCAGGTGCTGGAGAATGTGGTGAAGGGCCAGGTTGACAGCGTCATCTACAGACCTGTTGGCTCTGTAGGCAAACTGGAAGGGGTCCAGGAGGGGGTCCGTGATTTCTTTCAGGTGTGACAGCACAAGACGCTCAAAGGACTTCATGACCACAGAGGTCAGGGCGACGGGTCTAAAGTCATTAAGTCCTGTGGTCCTTGGCTTCTTGGGGACAGGGATGATGGTGGAGGATTTAAAGCAGGCTGACATGTCGCCAGTGAGGTGTTAAAAATGTCTGTGAACACTGGAGACAGCTGGTCAGCACAGAGCTTCAAAGTGGATGGAGTGACAGAATCTGGTCCAGCAGCTTTCCGGGGGTTCTGTTTTTTGAAGATTTTGTTTACATCTCTCTCTTTTATGGAAAGAGTTGTCACTGAGGAGGTGGAGGTGATCTGTTGGGTGGTGTTGTGGGGGGTGGATGCATGACTGTCCCTCTGTCTGTCGAAACGACAGTAGAAGTTGTTCAGGTCGTTGGCTAACTGTCGGTCGTTCATGGAGTGGGGGGCTTTAGGCCTGTAGTTTGTTATCTGCCTAAGCCCTTTCCAGACAGAGGCAGAGTCGTTGGCAGAAAGATGGTTTTGCAGCTTCTCAGAGTACAGTCGTTTAGCCTCTTTCACCGCCTTGCTAAACTTGTATTTTGCATCTTTGAATCTGCATTTATCTCCGCTCCTGAAGGCCTCTTCCTTGTCCAACCTAAGTCTTCTGAGTTTGCCAGTGAACCAGGGTTTGTCATTATTGTAATTCACCCTGGTTCGTGATGGAATACAGCAGTCCTCACAGAAGCTGATGTATGATGTCACAGCCTCTGTGAACTCATCCAGACTGTTGGTAGCAGCCCTGAAGATGTCCCAGTCAGTAGAACCCAAACACGCCTGAAGATCCTCCACAGCCTCACTGGTCCAATTCTTTGATTTCCTCACCACAGGTTTGCAGAGCTTTAGTTTCTGTCTGTAAGCAGGAATCAGGTGGACCATGACGTGGTCGGATTGGCCCAGTGCAGCACGGGGGACAGCGTGATAAGCATCTCTGATGGTGGTGTAACAGTGATCCAGAATGTTATCCGCTCTGGTCGGGCATTTAATAAACTGTCTGTATTTAGGAAGATCATGACTGAGGTTACCTTTATTAAAGTCACCAAGGACAATAACTAAGGAGTCCGGGTTGCTCCGCTCCACACTCAGTATCTGATCAGCGAGCGTCCGCTGTGCGTCCTGCACGTTTGCATGCGGCACGATGTAGACACCGACCAGAAAGAATGAAGCGAACTCGCGGGGTGAATAAAAAGGCTAACAGTTTATGATGAAATATTCCAGGTCTGTTGAACAGTGCTGCTGGATCACTGTCACGTCGTTGCACCAGCCGCTGTTGATGTAAAAACAGATCCCTCCACCTTTCACTTTGCCGGAGAGCTGTGCGTCTCTGTCCGCTCTGTGGAGTTGGAAGCCTGCCAGCTGCAGCGCAGAGTCTGGGATCAATCCACACAGCCATGTTTCCGTAAAGCATAAAACAGCAGATGAGGAGAAATCCCTGTTATACCCCAGCATCAGTTGAAGTTCGTGCAGTTTGTTGGGAAGGGAACGCACGTTGGACAGGATCATGCCCGGTAGCGCTGAACGAAGACTGCGCTTGCGGTGCCGCACGAGCGCACCAGCGCGTTTTCCTCTCCTCCGGCGTTTCGCTGCATGAGCAAAGGTGAGCGCACCTTTTACCAGAATGTCCAAAATTTCCAGCGCAGGGAGAAGAAAAGTGGGGAATAAATCCTCTGGTGATGTTGCCCTGATGTTCATGAGCTCTTCTCTGGTGAAAGAGCTCCGGGTAGCATCGCAAAAACCAGAGTTAAGTAGTAAAAAGAAACTAAAAAGTGCGCACCAACACACCGTGGCTGCCATCTGCGGCGCCATCAGGAGAGAAGACATACACACATGAAAACCAGAGGGCAGCAGATCATGTGAAAATATTTTCATCTCTGTCTCTTCAGACTGAATGCCTGTAACCTCTCAGAGAGAAGCTGTGAAGTTCTGGCCTCAGTTCTCAGCTCCCAGTCCTCTAATCTGAGAGAGATGGATCTGAGTAACAACAACCTGAAGGATTCTGGAGTGGAGCTGCTGTCTTCTGGACTGAAGAGTCCAAACTGCAAACTGGAAATTCTCAGGTCTGAACATCAGTCCAGGACACACTTGAAGGCTTGTTTTATAACTAAATTTATGTAGAATGTTTATGTCATGAACTTTAACAAGTTACACTGAAAAATATTGAATTAGTTCACTAAACTCTGCTAGTGCTGTTTTATATGAAGGGAAAGGTGGACTGAACCAGAACTTGATATTAATACTTGGATCCTTCAATAGAAATTAGTTACATAGCTCTGCATTTAACTGAATTCCTCACCTAAAGCAATGTCAAGATGAATATAAACATTGTGGGTACTGGAAAAAAATCTGCTGGGATCCAATTAACTACCGATAAGATCCAATTAGTCTAAACACTATCCATCCTATTAAATTTGATGCCAAACAGTAAAACAATCTGTCTCTTGTGGTCAATCATCAAGAGATGGTGGACAAACGAAAACCTAGGAATTCTGACAAAATGCAAGCATTGATTGTGCAAGAATGGACTGCTATCAGTCAGGATTTGGTCCAGAAGTTGATTGAGAGCATTCTAGGGAGAAAATCAGAGGTCCTGAAGAAGAGGGGTCAACACTGCAAATATTGACTTGCTGCATTAACTCATTCTGTCAGTAAAAGCTTTTGTTACTCATAATATGATTGCAATTGTATTTCTGTATGTGATGACAACATCTGATAGACACACATGAAAACCAGAGGGCAGCAGATCATGTGAAAATATAATATTTGTGTCATTCTCAATACTTTTAAACCATGACTGTATGAGCATTTCTGAACACCTAACTGCTGCAGTGCAGCATGGCTTTTACCTTCGTCAAACAGCACTTCAATTATATACAGTGATCTTCCATTTCAGCCATTAAATCATAGTGGTCTGTTGTTTTACCGAGCTGCCTGCGGCGTCTCCCAGCAGACTTTTTGTGACCCAGATCAAATCCGGGTCCTTCAACTTGGTTGAAATCAAAAAATTAAAAAAGCATAATGAACAATCCGTAATCAGCATTATTTTTTTTTTTTTTCTTTCATTTTCGATTTTGTGCAAAAACGCAGATAACGGAAAACCGTTCATTATCTGTTTTTTTTTTTTTTTGTTTTAGAAGCAAACAGTGAGAAAAGAAGTGTATTTTTGCATTTTTAAATTTCGGTTTGGTTGGATTTACTACCAGTCATCTCAGTAAAAGAATAAATAAAATGCATCACTGCAATCAAGCCAGTGGAAATGCTTCTATATGCTTCTATGCAACAATAAATAATTATAACCACCAATTATAACCACTAATTAATTAATCAATACTCAGATATATGTTGATTTAATCAGCTTTCAAAGATAAATAATTAAAACACTTCTTCAACATTAATGTTTAAGGCCCAGTAATAGCTGAGGTGGGTTAGCAATGGATAAATAATAATCAATTAACGGTTAGAATGATTATTGAATGACTCGTGTCATTTAACATGTTAAGTTAATTAATTAACTAATAAACACGCCTTGATCTGGACCTTCACAAGTCATTAGAACATGTTCTGGTTCTGCTTTAACTTGGTTTACTACTTTAAACTTTCAGTCAAATATTTTTTCTACATTTTCTTTCATTATTTTAGTTTTAACCTGTCTCTCCAGTTGCTTCAACACGTCTTTTATTCTTTATTCAGATTAAATCGCTGCAGTCTCTCAGAGATCAGCTGTGCTTCTCTGGGCTCAGCTCTGAAGTCCAACCCCTCCCATCTGACAGAACTGGACCTGAGCGACAACGTCCTGGAAGATGATGGAGTGAAGCAGCTCTGTGGTTTTCTCCAGTCTCCCCTCTGCAAACTACAGAAATTGAGGTCAGTCACCATGTTTTAGTGTAGTGCTGATATTTCTGATGGTAAAGTTGTGTTGACTCTAAACTGCAGACATATGGCTGATATTCTACTGATCCACACTGAGGATCTTCAGGCTAAAGTCTGATTTCTTCTTCCCTGCTTTGATCCAGTTAAAGTTTATTTCTTTTTCAAACTTCCTCTCATGATTTATTCAATAATAAGCAAGAAATATGAAACAATGAGTTGAATTTCAGTGTGGGGTTGCAGCATTGTCCAGAACTATTTTTCTCTCTTCTGTAAATGGGTGAACTACAAGAAAATAATTTCCTTTCCTTCTACTAAAGTAGTTCTGATTGTGATTATTTTACGATTCAATCCCGCTTTCCAGAGGGAAAATAATGTTCTTATAGTTCACTAATTTTATCAGTTGGTGCATTCACACCAAACACTACAACCTGTGAAAATGTCCCCAGGTTTGTCTGCTTCTGTTTGCTTTGAAATGTTCCTGGCCAGTGAAAGCAGCCTTTGATAGAGTGGGTCATAATATCCTGTGATCTGGTTTGGAGCATTCGGTGGGGATCCGAGGAAGAGCAGTGCAGTGGTTCACATCCTTTCAAAGTCATTGAACATTTAGTGTCAGTCTGTGAAATTCTTTGTCCTCCACTGCTCCTCTTTTATATGGAGTTCCTCAGGGTCCTGTTTTATAAAGGTGGACGATACCGGGAATTTCCAATCGATGCAATACCAAGTTAATGCAGGGTCAGTATCGCAGCTATCAATACCTTACAGTTACTTTTTACATTTAAGCTTGATGTATCCTGGAACTGGACCTTTCAGTGTTTCTGTGATTTTCATTTTATTATTACAGTTGAATAATAATAGTATTACTAATGCAATATTCAGAGTGTTATTTTCCTAATTTACCTCTCATATTATATCTTTCAATTCCTAAGTAATTTTGTGCACTTGCCTGTTGCTTTAATTGTATAAATTGTTATATTTGGGATAAATAATTGATTAGCTAATGTTTTACCACTTAGAGAAATGTTTTAATGAAATAAATTTACTGGGTTCTTTCAAGGTCTTAATTCCACTTTCTGAGTGGGCTACAGTGACATATGACATATAGTATCTACTTTGAAAGATAAAGGTATACTGGAGAATGTTCTTTTTCCAGGTGGATCATTAAAATAAATAAATGGTAGTAATACCAGTGGTGAGTCTGACATAGTGGAAAAATTGCAAATCTTCTCTTGGAAAGTAAGCATGTATGAGCGATGCAAACAGTAACTTTTAAACTGAGCTTGCACGAGGAGAAATGGGCTCATGCCCGCTCTCGCACGCAATTACTAGGCGTTCCCTCTCAGGAACGGATACATGGTTATTCCTGTGCATTTATTTTAAGCGGAGAGGGCGGGTCTTTTCAAAGATTTGTGAAAATCCTCCACTATAGCTTTAACATGAAGTGCTTCTGAAGGTGATCACTCTTATTTACCTGGAGATCGGAAAAGCCTTCATCAGTCATGTCTGTCTGAGGGTCTCTCTGGGCAATGAGCAAAGTCTCCTCTTCTCTCTCCATTTCTGTAGCTCAACGTTTTCTTGCTAATGGTTTTTCATGTTCTTTTTACAAACATTTAACCGGCCTTTTACAAACCATACAGCTTGCTGCTGTTTTCATTTATGGTATTTCCTGCTCTGACGGTCTCTATATCTCCTGCTATCGGAGCAGTGTGGTTGTTTGTATTTCGAGTGGAGAGAGAGCTGAGTGGGGGGGGCCAGGCTGACCCTGTGTGCTGATCAAGAGGGGAGGGGGGAGCAGCAATGCCTGTAATTATACGGACAGGGAGAGTGGTGAATCTGCAGCAGTTCGTTCATGCAGGAGAAAATAAAAAGTATTGATCCTGTTAAACGAATATTGTTCAATATCAATACCAACATTGGTATCGATAATATCGGCCCCAGGATCGATCCGCCCATCTCTACTGTTTTATGCTCCCTTCTTTTTACTCTTTATCTGCTCCAACTTGGATCCCTAGGAAACATGGGGTTTCTTTTCACTTTGATGCAGACGATAGTCAGATCTCCTGCTGAGGCAAAACAAAAACTCTTTTGAATCACTTCTGAAATTTTTGGATGATGTGAAAGCATGGATGGCTTTAAACTTTTTACATTTTAATGAAAAAAGATGAAAGTGATATTTTTTGGAGGCTCTTCAGAGAGCCTAGCTTTACACCTGGGCTATCTGGATCATTTTGTAAAACCAATGGCCTCAAACTTAGGTTTTAAAATTTAAAAAGAAATTTAAACAATTAATATCCAGTGTATCAGTAGAACAACTTTCTTCTATGACAGAGAGACAGACGGATACAGGCACAGGAAGACACACACACACAAACACACACCCACCCACATGCATGTGCGCCCGCACACACATATACATTCACTTGCATGCACCCGTGCGTGCACACACACATTCATTACCTTCTTCCATATGTCAGCTGCTGGCTCCTCAGACGTCGCTTAAAATTTGCTGTGTTCTTCCCTGCCTTGTTGAAGCTGGAGACTCTTTGCTGGCATCCTTACTGTGCTGTTTTCCTTCGTGTTGTAAATGAAATGGCTCCATACATCCAGGCGTTGTTGAACAAACTGCACACCGGTATCCGCAATTACTGCAAAGTTGAGCTATTAGTATAAGCCCTCTCCTACTACTGACTGAGAGCTGCGAGGCACTGTGGGACAGGCACCGTGTAGGGACAAATGGCACAACGTGTAATCTTCTATGACGCTCAAGAAACACTTATATTAACAATTACAAATTAATCATAAACAATTACATTTCTTAATGTAAATTTCATCTCTCTTAGTCTTGTTGACGAAAATCATTTTTTATTTTTGTCATATTTTTATTTTAGGGAACAATTTTTGTTTGTTATGGTCTCGTCATTGCCACGGGAAAATGGGGTGTTGATGAAATATTTTCGTCATCGTCATGGTTGACGAAATTAACATTGCCCCACACCCCCTGAAGGATAAGTCTTTACCTGTCATCAGGAGTATCACATACAGGCAGAAGGAAACACAGTGTCAAAAAGGTGTTCCTCCATTCAAGAGGAAATGTAATATTGATAAAATAATTTGTTAATCTTTAAGAGCTACAGGAATCAAATTGTCCCAGTACAAGGCTGAATCTAAAACAATCTAAGTAACTGGGAGCTTAATAATTGAGTCTTTCATGCCCACTGGTGAGATAAAACATTTTCTCAGAAGTTCCGATTGCACCTCGGTAGATACAGAGCTAAAAAACATAAGCAATATTTTTCTTACATACTTTCTGGTGGCCTGAGAACCCAAAGCCCACCGAACCCGGGAAAGATCCCCCTAAAAAAATATTTGATATTTAAAAGGGAGTCTCCTCACCTCTGAGCGGCCGCAGCTGTGTGTCTGGTCCATCAGTGGCTCTCCTCGTGTGATACAAGTTGTTGAGGTTCGGGCGAAAACACCATTTGTTAAAGATAGGCTCTGTGTATTTACCCTGATGCTCTATCTTTCTGGTTCTTGTGCCTGAAAAGAGATCACTCGAGACAAACTTTTTAAATAACACTTCATAACTTGTATTAAATAACCAGGAGACATGACAACACATTCTGATGGAAATTGTAATCTTAATCAGATCAGAGAAATTGTTTAGAGTTTACAGAAGGCAGCTGCTGCTCTCTGGGCTCACCTCTCAAGAAGTGGCCTGATTAACAGTTAAAAAGGCATTTTATACATCTCCAGTCTGCCACATCTTATTTCACATCATACACATTAGCAAATGATTAGACATCTATGGCTGCAGCTTTATCAAAATATTACACTTTGTTCTTAGCTGAAGGAAACCACTCTCATTCCAATTCCAAATCTTTGCCACATACAGACGGAAGATTATAACTGTATATCTAGGCAGAGGAACTGTCTTAATTAGATTAAATGTCAGTTCTGAGCGCAACAGGCTCGCGATAGCAAGGTGTAATAAACTTGCACACCTCCAATGTAATTATCCTAACAATGTTTAAGAAGACGACAATAAAAGCTTAAAAAAATAAAACACTGATGGCAGCAGCAGGTTCCTCCTCCTCAGCTTTGTCCTGAAGCTGCTGTTCTGTTGGACCGGGTCAGAGAGAACCTGTCCTCTTTAATCTGACAGCTGTCAGAGAGGGTTGGAGCCATGTCTCTGTGAGCCAATGATGCTTCATCAGGGGACTCATCAGGAACCTTAGAGCTGATTCAGAGTTCCTCCATCTTGGTTCTGATGATCTGATATGACCCAATATTATGGGTGGTAAAGGAGACCTGTGTCCTCACTGCAGTAAACATCTGATCCTCCTCTCCAGCCTCTCCTCTGTGGCTGGTGTCCTTCTTCTGTTGGGATGACTGAATGTCAGCAGGCAGATGGACGGCCTTTAAAATAGAAGCTACAACTTTAGAGCTTAGATGTATGTATATGGATATTATATGTAAATATATTATCTGTCTGTCTGATGAGAGCAAACTAGCTAGAAGAAAGTAGTTGTGGATCAACTTTGCTATAAAATCAGTGTAATCCTTCATGTTTGCTGTATTACCCTGTGCTGCGTTCAGAGCTCACCAGTTATGATCCTGGAACAAGGTTGTAACAGCCACACACTGTTTTTTCTGTGTGGGTGGAGCTGTAGGAGAAAGTGTATCTGATGGGGAACGCAGTCTGAATAACACCTGTTCAACTTCTCACTACGCTGCCGTCTTTACAAGCAGAGAGTTTTAGGGAGATGATTGACAGCTCTGGTATTTACCAGTCACCCTGAGCTGACCCAATCATAATAGTTGCTATGGGAACTAACTTCCAGCAGACTCTGTGCTCCATGGCTTCTAGGGTTGTTTTATTGTGACGTCCTGAATTGTTTTAAACATTAATTGTAGATCACATTGTGTGTGTGGTGACGGCGTTCCTAATAGAAATATGGGCTCATATTGACGTCATTATAATGAATTGTTGCTCATTACAATGATCAGCATTAAGGTATAATGAAGCTGAAAGTAAGTTAGACCGCAACACTTCATCCAAACTATGTCCAACTAAACTCAACAGGCTTTTTATTTTCAGACGGTTTCTTTGGTGAGTTTCTGCTCTGTTCTAATTCATGGCTGCATCCTCCAAGGACGCGGTCTACCTAGACTGGATCCTTCAAAGTCCGTGAAAATAAGAAGACAGGAAGAGTTTTGGCCGTGAATTCAAACAGGTCTACCCGTCGGCGGGTTTCAACGCAGTAGGCTATGTTGCTTAGCAACCGTGACAGTTGACACACGAAGCAGGAAAAGAATGAAAACCGAAGTTTTCAAAACTGATTGTTTATTTATTTATTTTTTATTATAAAGTGATCAAAGACAACACTCACGATATTCCAGAGTGGAATAAAGGTTCCAACCACCGGGAGCAGGAACAAATCAAATCAAATGTAATGATAGAAACCTTAGTCAGTTAAATAACCTGCTGCTGTCATTCTGCACATCTCTGATGTTGCTGCTATTTTAAAATGTCCATTACTGTAAAAATGTCCATAGCTGGATATTGGTTATTTATTCTCCAGGTGCACAGTTTGATATTGTTATAGTAAACACATTTTTCTATTCTATAAAAAAGGTAGAAAGATATAAGTAAATCTGAACACTGTATGTATAAAAATATATCTGCAAAATCTAATATTCAACACCAAAAAATACTTGGTTAAGCAAATTGTCCCAAACAGCAATAAGAAAATTAAAATCCTATCAGATTTATAGTCCCCACACTGCAGATATATTAGAATCTGTCCTTAAATTACAGCCAAACCCATTTACACAGTAACAGATAAAAACCTTTAGATAAATCAAACATTACCGCCACATATCTGACTCCATAACCATTAAAACAACTATTTTAATTTGTTTCAGACGGAACTATTCACATACTTGTATCATGTTAAACTGAACTTCCAATATTCACCACCGTTTGGCGCCAAGTAACCTTTTTCCTCTGATTACAAAGCAGCTGACTTGCTTGGTCTTGCAATGAATCCTGGGAAAACCAAGGATAGCGAGGATACATTGGACCCATCCTTCAAATCGAGCAGATAGAAGGACTCATTTTAAGGCCGCATAACAAGGAGTCTTGGAATCCGACCAGACCTCGGCGCCGCTCTATGAAGTAATCGTCCTTCGATTCTGGCCTTCTGAGGACGCATCCCATGACTTGGAACAGAGCCTCTGATATCAGTCAATCAGTTGTTGGTTGGCTGTAACAAATGTCCCTGAGGTTTGTTGACAAAGTCTCTCTGGGATGGCCTGACTGTAACCTTTGTCTCCTTGCTGCTTTGGCATCATTTGAACTTCAACGATTCAGATTCCTTGATTCGATTCTGTTTCCTATCAATTCTCGATTTCGATGCTTTTAAGAGGAAGGATCATCAAAGTTTCAATGTTATATATTAGCTGTTAACCAGATTTCTGTCTGGATAAAATAATCTGAATTTCTCAATAAATGTTCCTTCCTTGAACATCTAACTTTGAACATTAATATAAATGATCTCATAGTTATTTTCAACCAGTATATAAATATCAAATCAATGAACTGTAAGATGATCTGATGAATTTAATTTTCACAGTTACATTTTCACGTGGAGCTTTATTGTTTAAAACCTCATTAAAACACATTTCCATATATTCAGTGTTTGATGCTGCAGATACTGATGCTGTTTAAGACAATTTAATTATTTGATTTGCCTGATTCTGACTGCGGTGCAGTTCTAGGCTGAGTGTCTGAGCTGGAGCAGAAAGCAGAGCAGCAGGAAGGCATCCTGACAGAGTTTCTATCCTCAGCGTCTTTTACTGCACCTCAGCTCCACTCAGCTAGACGTGGAAGTAGTGATGTTTTACTTTCATGGACAGAGGAACGATCAGATTTCATCCTCCATTGTTCAGTTAGTGGGTTTTATCAGATGAAACTGATCTTAAATGGATTAAAATAAACAATCAATGAAGTTATTCTTACAATTATTAAGAATTCTTGGAGATTTAGGTTAAAGTGCTTTTTATTTTATCCAGAACGAGCAGGAAACAAGGCAGGTATCTGTTTAGACATAAAGTAAGAAGAAGAAAATATAAAAGGCTCTGCTCTCCCTGCAGAAGCAGGAAGGAGGAACAAGTTCCTCAGTGAACCTAAATTAGCACAACACCGGTGCAGCAGGTCAAAGATGAGGCTCTCATTCTGACTCCTGTGGTGTTTAATGATGTCGGCCGTGCGCCGTCCTTTGATTAATATAATCCCATTACTAGTTTCTCGGGTAGCGACTGGTCATTTCTTTATTTAACTTTAAGCCACACTTTCAAACAGATGGCTGCACACACTGCTGTGGATTCTTCTTTGCTGGTATTAGGAAGCTTCTATTGCTGGTTGAAAGACTGGGCAGCGACACTAGGAATCACAAAATAAAAAGTTTGAACAATTCCAGGAGAATTAAACGGTTTGAACCAGTTCTGATCGCTTATCGATTCTCTGTGACCAACCCTACTGGTTGCTCAGCTTCTCTCACCAAGAATAATTTGCTCTGTTTCTAATCTGCTTTAGATGTTAATGAGCACAGATGCTGGTGACTATTTGCAGTTTCTTCAATATTCTTAAAGTATTTGTTTCTACAATCATGTGAACTAAAACGTTTTTTGTTTGTTTTATTTATTTTTTTATACATTGTTTGGATAACTGGCTGCTTACAGGTAATAAAATCCACACATTTAGTTTCTCAGATGTTAAGAATATTGTTTGGTATGATGATTAGATTAGATTAGATTCAACTTTATTGTCATTACACAGGTACAGGTACAAGGCAACGAAGTGCAGTTTAGGTCTAACCAGAAGTGCAATAGCAGCAAGTGCAGGATAAATAATGGTTCCATAAATACAGGACATGGGATTCTACTGAATGAGTATAGAGATGAATACCATTAAAAATAATGAATATAATATATAGGTCACTAGAGTTATGAACTAAATTTACAGCTGGATATGTACAGAATATAATATACAGGTGGATATTACTATAAAAAGGGTTTTTACAGTTATGTACAATAGCATATATACAGATGGGTTTTACCATAAAATGAATAAATAAAGTTTGGACAGAAGCTATCTAAATTAAAGTGCAGTGGAAGGTAATTGCATATTACAGTTAAAGTACATTATTGCAAATGTATATCTAAAACAATTGGTACTGTGTATAAACAGTCGGCAGTGCAAAAATAAGCAGTATTTAATGTAAATTAAAGGTATAGTGGAGGATGTTCTTTTTCCAGGTGGATCATCAAAATAAGTGGTTCTTCTAACTGTCAATCTTCCTGGTGATATGTTAACATAAGGCCGTCCTACGTGCTCGCCCCCATTTTTATTTTTCAGTTGTGAGTCTGTATAGAGGACCAACTCTGCCATATTTAAAAATAAATACAGAAACAAATAAACCCTCAATAAATAAATAAGCATAAAATCAATTGCCCCCAAAAATACAATAAACTAATAAATGCAGTTTGAATTTAAATTATACAGTGAGACATAAATGTATGTATCTCTTTTAATTAGCTTCTTTATTTATTTGCCTTTGTAATAATTACCTTATTTAGTTATTCATTGTCCCTTAGTCTTCAACTGTATTTATTTATTACTTAGTTTTTAAGTATTTATGTGCATGATATAATATTTTTGTCTGTTTTATTCTTCCTTTGTATTTTTTATCCTTTATTTCTTCAACGCTATTTATTTCTGCCACATTATGCAAATGAGAAGGGGGCGTGTCTTAGAGGGTCACCTTCTGCCCATTCCAGACCCAAACGCTCTGTCTCCTCCCAGAGGTTTGGGCCTTGATGTGGAGAGCAGATGTTCATCAGATGATGACATCACTGTTTGCTCATCATGGTTTAGTCTGTGTTTATCATCCAGATTGTCTGATTTCATTAGAACTGACTGTATTTCTCCTCTAATCACAGACTTGGTGGCTTTTCACTCAATGAGGCTGACTGTGAAATTGTGGCCTCAGCTCTGAAGTCCAACCTTCATCTGACTGAAGTGATAATAGATGAGATCAGAGGAGGGAAAACCTTTGGAGACTCTGGAATGAAGCATCTGTGTGAGATACTGGAGAGTTCAATCTGCAAAGTGAAGAAACTTAGGTGAGTTTTCTCTTTATTCAAACATCATCAAATATTTAACTGTATTTTCCTGTTGTTCAACTTATAAAATGTTTTGTTTTAATGCAAAAAATGAATAGAATGAGTGAAATGACGTTAAGTAATGAAGATGTTTCAGTTTGATTTGGGGAAGATTCAGACGGTTAGACGAGATAAGATGGCTTTATTTCTCATTTCTTCTCCATATCTTTACATCTAGAATAGTGTTTGGTTCCTCTGGAGTAGAACCAGAACCACAAACATGTAGGAACAATTATAATGAAAAATAATGTTTAAGAAGACGACAATAAAAGCTTAAAAAAATAAAACACTGATGGCAGCAGCAGGTTCCTCCTCCTCAGCTTTGTCCTGAAGCTGCTGTTCTGTTGGACCGGGTCAGAGAGAACCTGTCCTCTTTAATCTGACAGCTGTCAGAGAGGGTTGGAGCCATGTCTCTGTGAGCCAATGATGCTTCATCAGGGGACTCATCAGGAACCTTAGAGCTGATTCAGAGTTCCTCCATCTTGGTTCTGATGATCTGATATGACCCAATATTATGGGTGGTAAAGGAGACCTGTGTCCTCACTGCAGCAAACATCTGATCCTCCTCTCCAGCCTCTCCTCTGTGGCTGGTGTCCTTCCTCTATTGGGATGACTGAATGTCAGCAGGCAGATGGACGGCCTTTAAAATAGAAGCCTCAACTTTAGAGCTTAGATGTCTGTATATGGATATTATATGTAAATATATTATCTGTCTGTCTGATGAGAGCAAACTAGGTAGAAGAAAGTAGTTGTGGATCAACAGCTATAAAATCTGTGTAATCCTTCATGTTTGCTGTATTACCCTGTGCTGCATTCAGAGCTCACCAGTAATGATCCTGGAACAAGGTTGGAACAGCCACAAACTGTTTTTTCTGTGTGGGTGGAGCTGTAGGAGAAACTGTATCTGATGGGGAACGCAGACTGAATAACTCCTGTTCAACTTCTCACTACTCTGCCGTCTTTACAAGCAGAGAGTTTTAGGGAGCTGACTGACAGCTCTGGTATTTACCAGTCACACTGAGCTGACCCAATCATAATAGTTGCTATGGGAACAAACTTCAAGCAGACTCTGTGCTCCATGGCTTCTAGGGTTGTTTTATTGTGACGTCCTGAATTGTTTTAAACATTAATTGTAGATCACATTGTGTGTGTGGTGACGGCGTTCCTAATAGAAATATGGGCTCATATTGACGTCATTATAATGAATTGTTGCACATTACAACGATCAGCATTAAGGTAAAATGAAGCTGAAAATAGCAGTTAGACAGCAACACTTCATCCAAACTATGTCAAACTAAACTCAACAGACTTTCTACTTTCAGACGGTTTCTTTGGTGAGTTTCTGCTCTGTTCTAATTCATGGCTGCATCCTCCAAGGACGCGGTCTACCTAGACTGGATCCTTCAAAGTCCTTGAAAATAAGAAGACAGGAAGAGTTTTGGCTGTGAATTCAAACAGGTCTACCCTTCGGCGGGTTTCAACGCCGTAGGCTATGTTGCTTAGCAACCGTTACAGTTGACACACGAAGCAGGAAAAGAATGAAAACTGAAGTTTTCAAAACTTATTTATTTATTTTTTATTATAAAGTGATCAAAGACAACACTCACGATAATCCAGAGTGGAATAAAGGTTCCAACCACCGGGAGCAGGAACAAATAAAATCAAATGTAATGATAGAAACCTTAGTCAGTTAAATAACCTGCTGCTGTCATTCTGCACATCTCTGATGTTGCTGCTATTTTAAAATGTCCATTACTGGAAAAATGTCCATAGCTGCATATTGGTTATTTATTCTCCAGGTGCACAGTTTGATATTGTTTAAACACTTTACAGGATTTTATTGTTTATATTTTAACTCTTCCTTATTATGTTATTCTTATACATTTTTCAAAGGTCCAAATTTGTGTGACCATTTTCATTAATCTTTCTGCTGCTGTAAATTTGTCCATTGTGGGACAATAAAGACATTTTCTATTCTATTCTATAAAAAAGGTAGAAAGATATAAGTAAATCTGAACACTGTATGTATAAAAATATATCTGCAAAATCTAATATTCAGCAACAAAAATACTTGGTTAAAGCTACAGTGTGTAATAATTACAGGGATATACAGTCAGAAATGTAATATATTATACATAACTATGTTATTTATCATCATCTACGAGCTCAGCCTCTTAACCTTAATATTTGCGTTGCCTTAGAATTCGTTATTTATAATTACATAGGAGCGGGTCTCGCAGCCATGGAGGCAGACATCTTTGCGCTACGGCAGCGCAGAGCCAACAAACTAGCGATTGCGAGATCGCACATGTAGAAAAAATAACGGGTATATTTATTATCTTAAGTCTACATGAAATCTATACCCTACACAGACTAATGAAATACTATCTGTAAAATGATCTATGTAAACAAACCTCATCACTTGAGAAGGTAGGTGATGCGGACGTCGTGGAAGACATTTTGTCCCGTAACGCTCGCCGTACTGTTGGGGGGGAGAAGCGGTGAGGGGGAGATGTTCATGTTGCTGCGGTCTGCAGTCTGGACGTTAGATGTCGCTGAAAATTACACACTGTAGCTTTAAGCCAATTGTGCAAAACAGCAATAAAAAATTTAACTATCAGATTTATAGTCCCACTCTGCAGATATATTAGAATCTGTCCTTAAATTACAGCCAAACCCATTTACACAGTAACAGATAAAAACCTTTAGATAAATCAAACATTACCGCCACATATCTGACTCAATAACCATTAAAACAACTATTTTCATTCATTTCAGACAGAACTATTGACTGACTTGTTTTATATTAAAATGAACTTCCAATATTCACCACTGTACCTTTTTCCTCTGATCACGGAGCAGCCGACTTGCTTGGTCTTGCAATGAATCCTGGGAAAACCAAGGATAGCGAGGATACATTGGACCCGTCCTTAAAATCTGGCAAAAAGAAGGACGCGTTTTAAGGTCGCATAACGAGGAGTCTTGGAATCCGACCAGACCTCGTCGCCGTGCTATGACGTAATCGTCCTTCGATTCTGGCCTTCTGAGGACGCATCCCATGACTTGGAACAGAGCCTCTGATATCAGTCAATCAGTTGTTGGTTGGCTGTAACAAATGTCCCTGAGGTTTGTTGACAAAATCTCTCTGCGATGGCCTTATGTTGCCGTTGCCATTGTGATTTAGACACAGGGTAACATTTGCTGCTTTGGCATCATTTGAATCTCAATGACTCAGATTCCTTGTTTTGATTCTGGTTTCTATCGATTCTCGATTCCGATTCTTTTAAGAGGAACGATCAAAAAAAGTTTCCATGTTATAAATTAGCTGCTAACCAGATTTCTGTCTGGATGAAATAATCTGAACTTCTCAATGAATTTTTCTTCCTTGAACATCTAACTTTGAACATTTATATAAATATAGTTATTTATTTTATTATTTTCTCATAGTTATTTTCAACCAGTATATAAATATTAAACCAAATTGACTGTAAGATGATCTGATGAATTTATTTTCACAGAGTTACATTTTCACATGGAGCTTTATTGTTTAAAACCTAATTCTAACACATTTCCATATATCCAGTGTCTGATGCTGTTTGAGACTATTTTATTTTCCTGATTCTGACTGCGGTGCAGTTCTTACCTGAGTGACTGAGCTGGAGCAGAAAGCAGAGCAGCAGGAAGGCATCCTGACAGAGTTTCTATCCTCAGCATCTTTTACTGCACCTCAGCTCCACTCAGCTAGACGTGGAAGTAGTGATGTTTTACTTTCATGGACAGATGAACGATCAGATTTCATCCTCCATTGTTCAGTTAGTGGGTTTTATCGGATGAAACTGATCCCAAATGGACTAAAATAAACAATCAGTGAAGTTATTATTTTAATTATTTATAATTTTGGGAGATTTAGGTTAAAGTGCTTTTTATTCTATCCAGAACGAGCAGGAAAGAAGGCAGGTGTCTGTTCAGACATAAAGTAATGAAACCCAGATAGCAAAACCTAAAAGATATTTAACATAATAAATAGCTAGGATAAGTTCATTTATATATTCTTTTATATCAGTTAACCTTTCAAAGTTCACATACATTTATTAGAAATATATTTACATTATTCAAAATAAGTTTTTTTTTTGTGGGAAATTGCCAGTGAACATTTTATTTTCCTACAGGAGTACGGTCTGTGAAGGCAGCACAGGTGTGAAGGAAAAAAGGAAAGAACAGCAGAAGGAGAGAGTTTGGATGAGGAGATAGGAGAGGAGGAGCAGGTAGCTGGTGTGGAAGTGAGTTAGCTCAGACTTGTTGTCAGGAGAAGTTTAATATCCAGTCTGCAGGTTAGCAGGACACAGTAGAGTTTGAAGGAGAAGCTGTTGGGCTGTGTGTTTGTTTTCTTTGTTGCTGGATGAACTTGAGAGTTAGAGTGAAGCTAAGCTAGCTGTTCACTAACATGGACTACTGGAAGCTGCTGTTTGGCTGCTAGAGTGGAACTTAAAGGGCTACAGAAGATCGTTAGCGGACTGGATAACGAGAGACGGACTCCAGATAGTCACTCTGAGGGCCCTCATCGCTCAGAGGACCTCTGGCTACGTGGGAACTGAGGGCCAGTAGAGGTGGAGCACATGGAAACCACACAACTGCATCATTCCTGACCTGCTGCTTCTTCTAATCGCTTTGAGCTCCTTCTGGACACAGGAAGACGTATTGCCCAGTTTCATCTGTGGAAAACCACCATTACACGAGCTAACGAAGCTGAAGTTGGCTTCTGATTGGGGAAATGAGTAAAGGGCAATTCCACCTAATTTTTCCCTACCTTCAGCATTTTAATCTACTCTAATTAAAAAACTACAACACCTAGACACAATTAACGTGGACTAGATTACTTCAATCTACTTGTAGTTTAGAATAATCTTCACAAATCCCAGAACTGGTTTTAATCATTCTACAAGTAGATTAGAATAATCTGGTCCAGGTTAGATGTTGCTAGGTGTTGTAGTTTTTTAATTAGAATAAATAAAAAATGCTGAAGGTAGGGAAAAATTAGGTGGAATCACCCTTTTAGTCATTTCCTGAATCAGAAGCCAACTTCAGCTTCGTCTGGTTGCTCAGCTTCTCTGACCCAGAATAATTTGCTCTGTTTCTAATCTGCTTGTGTCCTTCAGATGTTAATGAGCACAGATGCTGGTGACTATTTACTGAGCTGATCCAGTTCATAAAGGTGATCCATCAGAGGATCAGATAGAATGAAAACTGGTCAGAAGTTCTATAAAACTGGATCTAGAGACAGTGATGTCATGGGTTCTAATAGGGATGACTACAGTACTACTAATGGGTTTTACAGTCCAAGTGTTTAGCAGGGGCGCCTCTAGAAATGTTTCATAGGGGTGGCCAGATGGGGCCTCTTAAATTCTTGGGGTGGAACAAGAAACATCATTTCAGGGTTTTATTCCAGTGCTGTGGTAGTAAACACCTACTCATATCTTTTGGCTTATTGTGTGATTATTAATGTTACTACTGATCTAATGTGCACAGACATAGACCAGTTAACATTTTGACTTGAACTATAGTTGTGTTTTATTTATATTTAAAATAAGTTGTACATTTATTCACTTTTTGAAAACTAAAAATGACTGCGGGTCCAGGAACAGGTGGAACACCTGCTTTCACTGAGTTCTGCTGCTTCTGTCATCAAAGCTGCTGACTGTCCCTGGTCTGCTGCTGTTTGATGCTTTTCCTCATCACTGTTCTTTACTAATGCTGCTCTGTGTCCTCATCATGCTGCTGGATCTGTTTCTCTCCTCCTCCATCCTCCTCCTCTCTCTTCCCCTCATCATCCTCCTTCTCCTCCTCCTCTCTCTCCTCCTCCTCCTGCTCCTCCTCACTGGTTATCTGTTGCTCCTGTCATCTCTTTCTCTGTTTCTGCTGTAATTCTCTTCTTAAAATCAGAACAGATTTCTGTGGACTTTCTCTTCATGTCTGTAAATTGACCATCCATCCACAATCACCAGCTCATCCAGTTAGCTACATAACTCTGTCAGAAACTCACTAAAAGCTGCTTTAACAGTATAATGTTACAGTTCACATATCCCCTTTCACAAACAAATTATTTGACTTGTTTACTTATTGTTAGTTTTATACGCTTTCTCACCATTAAAGCGGCTACAGGCTGAAGAGTCATCTGTACCGGTAGCTCATTTGCGCAAGCTAACATCGGGTAGAGGAGGGGGAGAGCAGGAGGACTACAGTGTGGGAGAAGGACAGGGAGAGCGGCTGCTTTGCTGGGTGCATAATGGGGGGAAACGCTAAACAGATGCTACTACAATTTAAAGTGGCCAGTTGGGGGGGCCAGGGCCACCCTCGGCCACCCCCTGGTGGCGCCCTTGGTGTTTATTGTTCTGGTTGTGATAACATTGAGCAGAGAAGTGTAGTCAGTATGTGATGAGGCAGTGTACAGACAGCGCTCCGAGTCCACTCCTGTTAACCTGGATCCTCTGGTTTTACACTTTGCTAGAATCAATCTGATGATGGAGATGAGCTGACTCATTATTTTCTGCAGAGTAACGATGACCTCAGATCAGAAAAGGAGATTTGAAGCAGAAATGTCAGGCTGCTGAAAGTTCTGTTCATTTCTGTGCTCTCAGTACCGGGTCTGGGCTCCTTTGCATGAATGACTGCATCAATGCGGCGTGGCATGGAGGAGATCAGCCTGTGGTTCTGATGAGGTCCAATGGAAGTCCAGCTTGCTTTGATAGCAGCCTTCAGATCACCTGCATTGTTGGTTCTGCTGTTTCTCATCTTCCTCCATAGATTCAATTCAATTCATAAAATACTTTATTAATCCAGAAGGGAAATTAAATGTTGCAGTAACTCATAGGGTTTCATTTTAACCAGTTGTTGTAGGTGTTGATGCTGCAGGCAGGAAGGATCTTCTGTAGTGGTCTGTCTTCCACCAGATCTGGAGAAGCCTCTGACTGAAGACACTTTGTTGTTCATCAATCCTCTGCAGAGGATGCTCACTGTTGTCCATAATCTTCTTCTCTGTGAAATCATCTCCAGAGGTTCCAGAGGAGTTCCTAGAACAGAGCCGACCTTCTTTATCAGCTTGTTGAGCTTTTTTAAGTCATTTGCTCTGATACTGGATCCCATTTAGTTCACATATGGACGTGGCTCAGATCGGGTCTTATTTTAGGTGAACGGATCAGAACCGGGCCGTTCAGACATGAAAAAGATCAGATTTGTGTTACATTAGCCTGCTGTGTGTGAGTCAAGTCCAACACATCCAATGCTGGGATGAGTTTGAAGACTTTTCCTCTGAACTTTTTCTCATCTATTTCTTCTTGCAGTTGATGCTGCTTGTGTTGTTCTGGTTCTGGATTGTGTTGCAGCTCTGCTCTTTGTCCAACACAGATTTCTCCTGGAGGAGACTAATAAACACACCTTGATCTGGACCTTCACACGTCATTAGAACATGTTCTGGTTCTGCTTGGTTTACTACTTTAACTTGATCATTTTTCTGGGACTTTAGCTTTCAGTCAAATTATTTTCTACATTTTATTCATAATTTTTTCATTATTTTAGTTCTAACCTGTCTCTCCAGTTGCTTCAACACATCTTTTATTCTTTATTCAGATTGAATTACTGCAGTCTCTCAGAGATCAGCTGTGCTTCTCTGGGCTCAGCTCTGAAGTCCAACCCCTCCCATCTGACAGAACTGGACCTGAGCGACAACGACCTGAAAGATGATGGAGTGAAGCAGCTCTGTGGTTTTCTCCAGTCTCCCCTCTGCAAACTACAGACATTGAGGTCAGTCACCATGTTTTAGTTTAGTGCTGATATTTCTGATGGTAAAGTTGTGTTGACTCTAAACTGCAGACATATGGCTGATATTCTACTGATCCACACTGAGGATCTTCAGGCTAAAGTCTGATTTCTTCTTCACTGCTTTGATCCAGTTAAAGTTTATTTCTTTTTCAAACTTCCTCTCATGATTTATTCAATAATTCGCAGGAAACATGAAACAATGAGTTGAATTTCAGTGTGGGGTTGCAGCATTATCCAGAACTTCCCAGAATCCAGTGAATTTAGAGCTGATAATGCAGGAAATTCCCACTCCCATTCCCAGCAACATTATTTAGTGATGTTGAGCCAACATGGGCAGCAGTGTGGAACGCAGGAAGAATCCCAGAACCTCTCTAAGACTTCAGTCCTGGAGAGGACACTTGGTTCTCCCGTTCTCCTCCTCTGTACGAGGCTCTGAGCTCCCGGTGCTGCTGCTGCATCTCTCAGTAGCAGATCCAGAGAGGCTGGATGGATCTGGACTGGAAGGTGGAGGCATTGTTAGGCTTTAGTGTCCCTGCCCATCTGGAGATTCTTCCAGAGAATTTCTCCCTTGTTTTTATGGCCTCTGGTCAAATGGTTTGATTAGAAAGAAGAAATAACTGCTGATAAAGAGGAAGATGGAAGAAATCAAAAACCCTGATGTGTCATTTAGTTTAATCCATGGATGTATTTCTGAGCTGAACTCACATTTCTGAGAACTTTGAACTGAACGATGCAGTTTTTGAAGTGAGGAACATCAAGTGAACGAAGCTCATCTTGACGTCATTTAACGTTGTTCTGTTTAAGGTGAACTAAAGATTGTCCCGTTTTTTGGGGTAAACTTTAGTAAATTTCCTAGAGAAAGAGCAGCAGCATTTCTCCTTAGGCGCTCAGGTTCTGCTGTCGCTGCCATCGGGCAGCAGAGACCCAGTTCTGCTCTGTGAGAAACTCCATCAGTCATTTAGGCCTTTAAACGTGACTCTGCCGTCTTCAGCTTTGCTTTCTATGTCAGGACATGAACTGAAGGCTCCAACCTTAAAGCTCTCAGGTTCCTCTGAGGGATTTCTTCTTGGTTTGTGGACGGAGATGCAGCCCAGAGAACCATGAAGTAACATTGATCAGCTGGCTCATTTAAAGACACAATGACATTCATGCTGTGCTTTGATGGACCATTTCTGCTTGGATGGAGGCTTGAAGAGGCCTGAACATGAGGTGGAGCCTTGGACACAAACTTTGAGCTGCAGCTGGGATCTAGAAAGGAAAACTGCTTGGTTTTGTTCAGAGTTTTAGAAATCAGGATTTTTTTGTCCTGCTCCATTTTCAGGCGTTTGCCGTCCGTAAACTTTTAGTCTGGATCGTACCAATGTTTTCTAAATGAGACCCAGGACTGGGAACCACTGGGCTGTTGGATCATCCAGACACTGATTACTGAAGGACATCATTACCTGTTTATGTTTGGACTTTATTTCAGCACATGAAGATAAATAAAGGAGAACTAGTTCCAGTAGGAGCTGTGAACTGAGTTCAGAATATTTAGGTAGAGAACTATGAACATGAATCAGTTGATCTGAACCTGCTTGAACTGAGTTCAGAACCAGTTCTAGTTCACGGAGAACTGGGTCAGCACTGGTAGAAGGTTCTAGATCTCTTTCTAACCTTCATCAGGTTAGTTATTCTACAGGATGTCTTTAAAATAGTTCAGTTGATATTTCTGTGAAGAATTTGATAGAATCAGCTGGAAAACAAAGTTCATATCTTCTATTCTAATAAATCTTTTCCTGAGTTGGTCTTTGGACTTGGAGCCTTCAGTTCATATCCTAACATAGAAAGCAAAGCTGAAGTTGGCAGAGTCATGGAGGATGGAAATGAACTGGACTTCCTGTCATTCATTTTCAGGGTGTTATGGCTCAGGGTCCTAAAAACTGGAGACCATGCCACAAGGTGCAGAGAGAAACATTGATTTAGGATCAAACACAGGTTAACAAAAACTAGAATGGATGGAAGTGTCTGTATCAGTGGGGTAGAGCAAATGATTGGATGTCTCTGTGTGATCATCAGAGTGACCACCATTTTTCTGATTTCACCATCAAAATGAGGACCGCTTGTTGTAAAGTGAGGACATTTTTCTGCTCCTGTTGAGCTGCTTTGCTAACAGTTAGCTTTAGGGTTAATGTCAGGGTCAGGGAATAGAAAGGGTTAAAATGACTGAAAATCAATGGAAGTCAATACATGATGATGAAGGTGATGATGATGATGATGATGGATTCTATAGATAGAAAACATTTCCATTAGTCAGTAAAACTCTTATTTGTGATGAGGAAATCTGTCTCAGATATTTAGTGGTCGGCTTTAGTCTGCTTCAACTTAGGATTTCTTTACACAATAATGGGAACTATAAGTATTACAATCATAATAGTTACTATGGGAACAAACTTCCAGCAGACTCTGTGGCTTCTAGGGTTGTTTTATTGTGACTCCCTGAATTCTTTTAAACATCAATTGTGGATCACATTGTGTGTGTGGACAATTTTATTATTTTATTTTCCTGATTCTGACTGCGGTGCAGTTCTAGGCTGAGTGTCTGAGCTGGAGCAGAAAGCAGAGCAGCAGGAAGGCATCCTGACAGAGTTTCTATCCTCAGCGTCTTTTACTGCACCTCAGCTCCACTCAGCTAGACATGGAAGTAGTGATGTTTACTTTTATGGACAGAGGAACGATCAGATTTCATCCTCCATCGTTCAGTTAGTGGGTTTTATCGGATGAAACTGATCCCAAATGGACTAAAATAAACAATCCATGAAGTTATTCTTACAATTATTTATAATGCAGGGATATTTAGGTTAAAGTGCTTTTTATTCTATCCAGAATGAGCAGGAAACAAGGCAGGTGTCTGTTCAGACATAAGGTAATGTAACCCAGATAGTAAAACATAAAAGATATTTATTATAATAAATAGCAAGGATAAGTTAATATTTTATATTCTTTTATTTCACTTAACTTTTCAAAGTCAAAAGGGTTGTGAGAAAGGCATTTAAAATTATTCTCAAATTTAGGAAAGAAGATGAGCATGGGAATTTAAGTCCGGTAGCAGTATCTAGGGAATTAAAAAAGAAGCTGGGAGATGTGGAAATGGCAAAGATTTTGAGAGACGTAAGCCTGTTGATAACCTGTAAGTCGGAGGAACAGAAAAACAAAGCCTGGGAAGTTGAAAGTGTGTGTAAGAAAATAGTGAATGAGAGAAAGAACGTGGGTGACAGTAGAGCTACAAGGGGGGTGATAACAGGGATACCTGTAGAAGAAGACTTGGACAAACTCCAGCGCAGTATTAATGGAGGCGAAGTGAGCAGAATTAAGAGACCGTGAGAACAGTAAATGGTGAAAGAGTTGAGAGCTTGTCAGTTCTTCTGGAGTTTCAGGAGTCAGTGCTTCCTAATAAAGTGAAAATAGGTTGCATGAGCCTTCCAGTTAGGCCCTACATTCCTCCACCGCTACGGTGTTACAAATGCCAGAGGTATGGACATAATGCAGTAGTTTGCAAAGGGAAGCAGAGATGTCCTAAATGCGGAGGTGAGCATAGAGTGGAAGAATGTAAGGAAAACTCCCAGGATCAATGTTGTAATTGTGGTGGCCAACACAGGGTAACATATGGTGGATGTGAAGTCAGGAAGAGGGCTGTAGAAATACAGCAGGTTAAAACAGTTAACAGCATAAGTTATGCAGAAGCAGTGAAGAAAGTACAAGGACAAAAAGGAAGGCTGGATACTGACAATGTTATCCAGGTGTCAAGAATAGAACCAGGTCAAACAGAGAAAACAAATCCAGGACTGTCAGTAGATAAGATTATTCTGTTTGTGGCCTATGTGATCAACTGTTCTGATCAAGTTAACACAAAACTGAGAAAATAAAAATAATAGTTAAGGGAGCTGAGAAGTTTTTGGGCATAAAAGATATATCTTGGAAACATATCAAAACAAGACTTGAAGCAGATGGAAAAGCTGGAGGCCCAGGTGAAAAGACAAACTGATTATAAATCAATGGAATGCAAGAAGCTTAATAGCAAATGGGCAGGAGTTTAAAGGATTCATTAGAGATTTAAAAAATAAACCAGATATTATATGTGTTCAAGAAACATGGCTTAAATCAGAATTAGAGTTTGTTGTTAAAGGATATGATAGCATCGTAGAGATAGAGGGGAGGGTAGTGGAGGAGGATGTATAATATTTATAAAACAAGGAACGCAATATAGAGTTTTAGGAAAAGGAAAAGAGTTGGAATATGTGATAATTGAACTATGGACTAAAGAAGGAAATATCAAAGTTGTTAACTTTTATAATCCATGTAAAAAATTGTCATTAGAGTTGCTGGAGGAACTGGTGATACAGTTAGTAGGGAAGGTGATTTGTTGTGGGGATTTTAATGCCCATAGCACATTATGGGGTGACAGTAATGATGCTAATGGGATGGTTATTGAGGAGGTGATGGAGATGACAAATTTAGTGTGTTTAAATGATGGAAGTGGAACAAGATTTAATATCAGAGCTGGTAGAGAAACGGCGCTGGATCTCACATTAGAGTCAGACTCATTAGCAGGTATTTGTACGTGGGAAGTAGTCAGAGGAACAACAGTAGGAAGCGACCATTATCCTATTGTGACAGTAGTAGGATTAAATCTAGAGAAATATGAAACAGTAGGGCTGAACAAATGGTCAGTTAGTAGTGCTGATTGGGATAAATTTAGAAATATTAGTGATCAAGGAATTGGAAAAAAGAATCATTGTTTTCAGAATCTTATTGACTATAAAAAATCTCAAGCAAATGTAAAGAGAATCATAAAAAGTGCAAAGAAAGTATATTGGAGGAAGTTTTGTTGTTCAGTAGGGAGGGAGACAGACATTAGTAAAGTGTGGGGGATGATAAAAAGAATGAATGGAATAAAAAGAGAGTATGGATATCCAGTCTTAGATGATGGACAAATAATATCAGTG